AAATGAAATTGTTAGTCTTATGGATTAGAAGAGCGCAAATATTGAACATAAAACACTAAGGCCAGTCGACCGTTTATTATCCTACTGTCATGATATTGCCGCCATAGCACCCGTGACGTCATGTGCAAATTAAACCCTCCCCACCCATGACATAAGAAACAAACAAACACAGGTACTCCAAAAACATGTGAAAAGAGAGAAAAAAGATTAGAATAAAGAAATATAGGGGACAAGACAATTTGAAAAAAGTTAATTAGTTAATAAGCACGTATAGGAAAACGTTTTGAATTTTGTAATTTTTAAGGCGATTTTTGATATCCTTTTCTTCCCCTACACCAAAAAAATCTTTAAATGGCAAGATTCTTGAGGTAGACGGTAAGCAAACTTCATTTATTTTATTTTAAACCTTTATTACTTTAAAATATCTGTCGTTAGGTAACCGGAACCCATTACTAAGAGACGTGTCGATTTTTTGTTTTTTTCTCTTTTCTCAGTTATTTCCAGTAGAACGCATTCCTGCAACTTAGCTGAAAAATAAAATATGCCTAATGATAGTGAATGTGAATTTTTTTTTTACTATGGGAAACGGATTTTTTGTCTTCTTTTGTTATGAATACCATATTGTACGAAAGTTGATTTCGCCACAGAATAGTCACTTCTTGATTTGTTTCACTTCACCTTTTATTCACTGAAATCACTCGTTCTTTTGTTGACTCACTCGCTTTTTGTCTCGTGTCTCACNTTAAGTGCGGTGAGGTGGTTTAGGCTGAATGCATATAATCTCTCAAAAACTATCCCTAGTCCAGTGCTGACCTCCTTTCGACCTGCTCTCCAGGATTCGCTCTCCAGGATTCGCTCTCCAGGATTCGCTCTCCAGGATTCGCAGGGGAAAGAGAGACTCAGTCCAGTATAACTTGCATGCGCATGTCAGCATATATTTGGTGTACCACATCTATCATATTCTATACTGACATGGTTACAATTCTCTGTACAATTGGCAGCAAGACTGATCGAATGTCATTGCATCTCTGATTATATTATTGTTCCTGGGTCTTGAAATCAACCATATCTATATTATTTTCCCTCATCATTTCAAAGGTTTAAATCGTCTTACTATCTATCAGATTTAAGTTTAGAATGATTTAGAACCAATTTAGTCGACAATATCTAACGTCCACCACTCGTTGCAAGTTAAAATTATATTCTATTTCTACGCGAACATTCAAGCGAAAATATGAATGAATCTACTGCTTTGATTTGACAGATAGAACACAGACAAACTGAGCTGAACAATGAATCAAATGAAAAAAAAAAGAAAAAAATGTTAACAAAGAAAGATTGCGAATGAGAGTGCTGAAAATTCAAAGCAGTCGCTACGTGTGTTATTATTAATCTGATTGGCTTGCTCTGCACATGCRCATACAAGTTATGCTATACGCGAAAGGAGGCTGGACTAATTAAAGGACTGGACTAAAACTACCCACATATATTATGTACGAAAAACATTACTTTGAAGCAAGTTTTGATATGTAGTGCGTGACAATATTTTGACCTTAATAACTTTCTCGATAAACCGTTGCGAATCTCTGAGTTCTGTTAGTTCCGTATTCCTAGAGAGTCGAAATGGCGAAAGAAACAGTAATAAGAATACGGATCACTTCTGTGCTTTATGTTTGTTTTTTGACATGCTTTCTGTTATCAAATGGCTGTTTTAGTAACGATGACTGCAGTTTTCATTCGGCTGTAATTCCGTAACACAACTATCAAAGGATTTCAAGAAAAGAGGAGTGACAAGTCAGCCACCCGCTGATGGGCCCGCTCAGGTACAGAGTGCCTGTAATCTTAAGAAGAACTAGCCCCTCCCCCTCAATAAGAAAATTTACACTTTCCCCCACCCCCTGAGTACGATGATGTAGTTTGATGTTATATGATACGCCATTGTTTTTAAACTATCTAAACAGTAGAGTATAATATTCCAGGCGACATCTTGAAAGGTAGCCAAGCCTTTGCATGAAAGCGAGACAGGAGTTGAGTCTRCAATGATGGGTACCTTACACCTAAGACAATTATTCGCAGGTATCTATCACTGCAAGCTCAACTACTGCCTCGCTTTCATGCAAAGGCTTGGMTACCTTTCAAGATGGAAGAGAACTGTAAAATGGAGTATTGAATCGACGGCATCGGTTGTGATAGTTGCCCACGAAAACTGGATGTTCCGAAAAACAAGTAATCGCCCGAGAACTCAAAGCTAAATAACGTTTTGAGGAGCATCCAGGGAAACTACCACAGCAAAGTCCTGAGATTTCAACTCCTCTTTTGTTTTTATTATTCATGCAACAACAAAATTTTCTGGAGCGGCGCACTCTATGAATAACAGGGGCACTGTAATAAGACCCTCTCTGACAAACTACAAAAATTACAAAACCGTGCTGCGCGTATTCTAACCTTTTCCAGCTATGACACAAATGCCGATCTTCTCTTTAAACGGCTTGGATGGAAAAGGTTGGAATCCCAAAGGCAAATACAAGAAGCAGTAATGGTGTACAAATCTCTTAATGGTCTTGTACCCTCCTATTTGCAATCTATCTTTACTGATAGGAGTAATATAACCCATTATGAACTGAGAGACACTGCCCCGCTCAAACTATCTAAAAAACAGTTTTAGCTACCAAGGTGCGGTGCTTTGGAACGGACTACCACCTGATTTGCGGCAAGCACAAACTCTCAATGGTTTTCGAAATKGTTRCCGACAACATTTTTCCTAGTCGCAAACTTTAGCTTTTCTTTTTTTTTTAGCACAYGGCATTCATGTAAAGCAGTGTTATGTTAGTTTTGATTAGTATWGTATTTTGTTTTTAGTAGATTTATTATCTTTATTAGTATTTTAACTGTATTTTATAGTATTTTAATTGTATCTGATGAATTTACCGTGTTTAAATAAAGTTACTATCTATCTATCTAGGATATGATATAACGCTCTCAGCGGCAAGATTGCACTTGGTTTTGGAGCTTGTGGAGGTAGTTGTGCATATGCAATTCARTACCATTACAATTGTTAAGGTTAACCCCATCYTGGGTAATCATTTCATTAAGAAGGGTTTTTTTTAATTAGACTTTAGTAGACGATCCTAGAATACTGATTTGTTTTCTGCTAAGTTGCTCATTTTTCTTAAAATCTTTGTGCAAGACGGTGCTATGTATACAACCAAAATGCGATCCCTGGGCCCGACAATAAAAGCAAATCCATGATCTCATTTACCTCGTGTTTACCCCTATAACAGCTATAACCTGCTCTTAGCTTCGCCCCAATCCCCTTCGAGAAAGAGGATGATAAGTCTGGAAAAAAGATAATTTTCTTCAGTAAATATTTCTTATCGAGGACATGCAAGACTTTGAGAATTTTGCAAGTGGATTATATCGTTAGGCATTTATGTTCATAGACTGGACGTGCTTAGAAAATACCTCTTTCAAAGGTAACACCTTGTGTTTTCTAACTTAGAGAGAGGTGTGACATCGACGACGAGAACTAGCTGATCATTGAATCCCAGCGAACGCTGCCCGCTTAAAATACAGTAATAATCATGATAATCATGATAATTGTTACTTATATGCCGCAAATTGTCATATGTATATAACATATATAATCAAACTGAACGCGCATGTAACAAAGTAAACCGCAAGAACACAAATCATATATTATACCGTATATACTACATAAAGTAGACTGAAGAATCCAGTTGCCTATATTACGTACGTRCAAGCATTCACCCCAAGAAACTGAAAYCAAATTCAGTCTCAGCTAGTGGTTAGACCGGGAATCGAATCTGATGAGCCTGTGACCGCAACATAACGATACCAACACCTCGAGCACTCACTCCTAGTATCATGTAGTATCTGATAGWGTGCATAAAAAAACTGAAAATATAGCCTGGTGCGTTTTTTTACGAATAAGTAATTAGTTTAGTGCGGAGGACAAATTCTACCGTAACATGAGAATTTTTAGGATGGCAGATAGGCAATAAACGATTGATTGCGCGCTTTATCCTTATAAAGACCAAATGCGGAGGGCAGAAATATACTAGCCCTCACCCTCCTCCTGAAAAAAWTCCATATAGCTATTTGAAACACGCACTTTGAACGCATGAATTTAATTTTAAAAGTATTCGATGGAAATCCATGTATAAAACCTCTWAAGCCATGTCCTGATGTAGTGAAAAGAACCTAAGTAAACAAAGCTACTATAAGTTTGGTTTTAATGTGCAGAGCGTGACAGTTGACGTCACATTGCAAACATACGCGCGATGACGTCAGGTTCCTTGTTTGCCAATTGCGACATGCACGTCGCTAAGAATACAAGTCGATRAATAGTCTTGAAACCGTGCGGTCTGTGACGGTTCTTTTCCTTGTGGGTCTCAAGTGAAAAGTAAAGATTATTTCCTTGAGAAATGTCGAGTGAACGAACAAGAATATGGATCAAAGTGTTGTTTATTTGTTCGGTGGGATTCTTTCAAATATCAAAGTGCTGCTTTAGCAACAACGACTGTCGCTTTCAGTCGGTTGTAATTCGTAACAGAACTATCAAAGTCTTCAAAGAATTGTGTTGTTCGTATGGACGTTATGTCCCGAAATGCATCGATGTAAYAGATTTCGCAAAAAAGTGCCGAGCAAATCCGAGAACAACTAGACGACCTTGGGTTTGGACTTTAATACGACCATGGACCCAACCACAGTGGACCGACCCTAGTTGGTTCAAAACCGACGATTGGCCAACAWTCAAACCTGCCACATTTGAAAACAGTGTTAATGACGGTTTTTTTAGCCAAGGAGCCCTGGTTGCTATTTTGGTTGTCCCTGCTATTATTGTTATTTCAGTCTGCATTTGTCTACGAAGCTTGAAGTCACGTCAACCAACACAGCAAAATAGTCACGCATTCTTAAGCCAAGAAATAAGGCAACAGAACAGAAGCAACACTACCAATCCATTTCTTGTTCATAACGAAATGGGAGGAGTGAGAAGTCAACCTCTTACGTCRGGGGGAGGCATGACTATCAACCAGCCTCACCCTGATGAAGAAATTTACAGTGGCCAGCTTCCCGCTATCGGAGTTCAGACTACGTTTAATCTTGACGAATTACCCCCTCCCCCTGACTACAAAGATCTATACTTTCCTCCACCTCCAAAGTACGAAGATGTAGTTTGATTTATATTGAATAATGATGRATCTTTAGAAGATATGAATACAATTAATTTGAGAAAATGCAGTGCATCAGGAAAAATCATATATTTAAMTGTAAAAGGCAAATTCAACTAACATAGAAGTCGCGCGCCTCTGGACGGAATCTGGAATCCGACAAAATTTTAGCTCTGGTATCCAGATACTTGGAATCGGGATTGCACGGAATGGGAGCGAAATCCAATAAAACAAGAGGTATCCGGAATCTAAATTATTTGCTTCAATTTGTTCCTTAAAAAGCTAAGATGCTTTGCATTCAGAAGTCAGTATGGTGGAATCCAGAATCCTTGCCAAAATTTYTTGAATTCCGAAACCGTGAACGCTTCGGATTCTGTGCCAATGGGCGATCAAAATTTAAGAAAAAAATGAAAACTCGACCTACAGTTTATCTGAACACTTACTACTTAAGTGTTGATGACCATTTACTGCAAAGAAGTTTTCATGGAGAAATCGAACATTTCTCTAAAAGTAAACAGAATCAAGTATTCAGACTAAGTCATATTTTTKGGGGAATTTTGTTTGTTTGTTTTTCGAATTCAGATGACAACGTTTTTGCAATTTCGTCTCGTTGAGTTCCGATTTCATTTAGCCTCTCTCACAKGCGTTCTTTTTAAAATTCACTCGCCACTAGAGTTCATTCAGCCTCCTGCAAACCAGAAAATCCTCATGGGTACCTGGTAAAATTAAAAAGATGCATGTGAATGAGAAAGGAAAAGTGAAAATGACAATGTCAAACTGTAGCTTCCTTTTTAGTATTAAAAGCATCTACGCTTTTAACATTAACTATATCTTCTGGTAGAGTGTTCACTTATATAGTTAGTTGAGGAAAATAAGATTACATGCAGTATTCTTGACGGTGGAATTTCAAAGCCTGAAAGAATTCACCTGACTGCTCTATGATGCAGCCCGTGTTGGCGCTCACAGAACGTCGAGTTACCATTGTCATATGCCATATATTTCGAAATGTAATACAGTCATTTGATAAATTTCTGACTACAAACTTTATATATGGTATATCTATTTATAATATTCATTAATAATTCGTAAGTTACACAGCCATTCAGTGACCGCCATTGTAGTCACATGACTACCCTTGTATTCACCAATACAAACTTTAAAGCGCGGGGAGGGCTTGAATTCRGAGCAGGGAAAGGGTGGGRTTGAYGAATAATAACAAYAGAGAATGAGATTTATTAAAAGGTTAGAAAAAATATAGCTAACAGATCTATGAAACGCAGACAGTTTCAGTAATATAAGTGAACACAACAATCACGCGCGTTAACCATTTAAATYAGGTATGTCACTTTCAAACTTTAATTTTTACAAAGTATTTATTTTTACACTGTTTATTGTTCTATTATTGCTAAATAAAAATAAGTTATCTTATAAGTTTTGTGGTTGCACTATAGCACCAACCATGCGTACTTATCGTATTATGTACTTATGCTATCAATATTAAAACTAATCACATGCACGCTCTTTTTAGAGATTTCACACTTAAATCTGACATTTTGTCCACCATCTTCAATTTTTTATCAAAACCTGCTTCAATGGCCTTGAGCGTCTTTATTTTTGAATAGACGACTAACTTTGTCTCGTTGTAGAAAAGAAGTCAGTTAAATGTTTATAAGTTCCATAGTCCTCTCTGGTAAAACATTTTCTCTAGTATGACGTCATACGATATTTCCATACGCAGCACCACCATTACGATTGATTTGCATTGCAGATATGGAAGCTGGAGTCTGATTGGGACTCCAAACGGCTTCACAGGAAATATTCTTATTGGCGTTCGTGCCTTTCCCCTCCTCAGTAAGAGCTAGATTACTCACTCCACCCCCCTGGACACCACCACGAAATTGCTTGGATGCTTCACTATTCTGCTGATTTACTTTACATCGCCAAATGCAAAACCATATTTTGAACACAAAAAAAAAAGAATAAAATGATTATCCATATTGCATGATGCCAAGAATGATGGTCCTCCTCTGACATTCTGGGGTTTCAGTCCACAAGGTCTGTTGCACACTCTGATTCGCGGCAGACAACTGGTCTATGCGATATTGTGGTACAATCTCCCGTCGAAAATTASGACCGTTTCCGTGTCTATGACAAAAAATCCGTGTTTTCCTTGGTTTAGAGCCAAACACGCTTTCCAAAGGTTTCACACTGGAATGACTTCCTCAAAACGCATGCAGTAACGCTAGTGATCAATTTGAGCAAATGACATCATGCATATTATTATTGGACTGTCAATTAACGCCTGCTTCATCTAAGTGCAAKGGACAACATGCAGCTGTGGTAACCTCGTTAGCTCGTTAGCATGGACTGAAGTTTCTAAATCATGGCTGCACATTTTTTTAAAAGAATGTTCGAATCTCTCTTTGAATATTACCTCATTTTGTTGACCTGCTTTTTTAACAACCCCCAGGCAACCAATATTTTGAATTTGAAAGCAGCAGGCGCATGTTTAACACGTGGAAAGGTCATCCATTGCTTTCCTGTTATGATGATCATAGCAAAACAACAGTAATATATGACCAGCGATTGCCCGCATCCCGTTTTTTATCATCTCATGTTAAACAATCTAAACAACACAGTGACCTCAATTGTGAGCTCAGTCCTGAGATTGGCTAAACTTCCTGCTTGCATAATTTGGGGGTCTGTTATTGTCATAGCGCAAACCCGCACAATAAAAATGCATCGAAACCGTTAACCACGTTGCAAAATCCACAGAACTGCAACCCTGCGATATCTTCCGAACCGCCGCAAAAATGAGATAAATACCGAAAACCAACCTCAAAAATCAGCAGAAACCGCCAAACCGCTAACCTATGTAATAGGCACCCTTCATTATGGCTCATGCTGCTAATATATTGATAGTATTTATGATGAGTTCATTAAAAGTGRCGAGTCTCGTAGACATCCAATATGATCTGCTGTTTCTTCATAATACATTTCAAAACATCGCGACATTATACAGCCAATCTGTCTTAATTAAAAACACAATGAGACACAGTGTCAACACACAGTGTCATTTTAAAAGACCTTCCATCATACCTGCAGTTTTATAGGCAATACTTCCTAGACATGACGTATTATTATCTCTTTTTTATTCTCTGGCGTAAAAATACTTCTCGTGTATTCAATAAGTGAATCCACTTCAAAATCGGCTRAAATCRCATTTCATTAAAAAATGTCGATTTAGCAGTTTTATGCGTCGTCTGTATTCAATTCAAGAATTCAACTATGTAAAATACGACATATGGACTAGTCCTAAGGTCCCATTGAACAACAACACAACATCCCCACAATCTTAAAAAGTAACAATAATTTATAATGTAACTGAAAAGTATACGTTGCTAGCAAGGATGAAGGATATTTTTCATAGTCAAATCACAGATAGCGATTTGTAATATTTCGGGGAAGAAATGCGCCAGGGCAATATTATCAATGTTAAWGAAATGCTCATACCAAGAATAGATAAAGATAAAAGTTTCTTTTACCATTCAAATCAACATGATCGAGTTTTATTTTTTTTTATTAACACTTTTAAAAACAGACATTATGATTGTTTGTTTGTTTGTATATTATTCTTAAATAGCTTACAAGAAGCTCTTGTATTGGTCTAGTTTCCGACCCAAAGGAACGTTAACAATATATATGACGTTCTACGATATTTTAGTCGCATTTGGTGAGTGGTGTTATGTCGTCACGATGGCAAGTATTCGTCTCTGGAGTGTTGCCATCCGTAGTCTGAATGTCTTCATGACAGTGAGGCTCATTAGTATCCAGTCCTTCCCGTTCCTCAGTGAGAGCTAGATTTCTCACTCCACCTCCCTCGACACGACCAGAAAATGGATTAGTTGCATAACGCCTGCGTCTCCTCTTGTACGTTGTAATACAGCCAGGTTGAAACAATAAACATGAGGCCGGCGATTGCCCATAAAGCGTGAATCCAGGAACTCACACCCTTCTTGCCTAATGGAACKTTTTGTGTCAACAGTTTGAATGTAAATGAATGGATTGATGGGACATATGGTTCGTTCCAGTCCCAAGGGGTGCTCTCCTGTGATCTATGAGTTATTAACTGCAATGGTTGAGTAGTGGATGCGATCGTGCGATGATGATGAACGTTGCGCCCTCTATGTCGCTGTCGATGTGTCCAATGTCGTCGTCGAGTTCTACCAGTCCCTTGCATTGCGTATGATAGACACTTGGTTGAAATTTCCTGCACATCCATGCACTTTAGTGAATTTGGTCCATGAAAACAGCAAACCTTATGCGGGATCTTCATGGTTCGGTTTCGAATTCTTATCGACGATGAACGACAGTCTTCGTTGCTTGAACAGCTATTCGCCAATTCAAAACTTGTTACCAGAAATACACAAAATACTTGGATCAATTTTCTTCCATCTTCTTTCCCCATTGCTGCACCAAAACATTAGCTAAAGCACGAACAATTTTCCTCGCTTCAAAGCCACGCGCTTCAATCGTTAGGATGAGTTCACCAGTCAATGCGCATGTCACGATTACAATCAGAACATGCAATTAAACCGTGGACAATGACGTAATTTGATAGAAATGAATGTGTTTTGCTTGTTGCTTTGGATCTATCGGCTGCCTTCGATACGATTGATCACCCATTGTTACTTAGAAGGTTAGCACATCGTTTTGGAATTACTGGAAGATGTCTGCATTGGATCCAATCTTACAYAGAGGGAAGGAAACTRAGAGTCGTCATTGATGGTACCCTTTCTGATCCTAAAGACCTATGCTGTGGTGTCCCGCAGGGCTCAGTTCTTGGGCCCAAACTATTCACTATGTACCTTATTCCACTTGGTGATATTGCACGTAATCATGGTGTTCGTTTCCATGCCTATGCTGACGATTGTCAGCTGTACATTTCCTTCTCAAAGGCAACTGTCCCCACGATCAAGTCAAAGATGGA